ATTCTTGGTATCAGACAGGCTAATTCCTAGTCAAGTTCGATAACATCATCTAGAATTGAGTCAAAATGCGCTAGAAGCTTGAATTCGATAATTTGATTCATATAGCTAAAATTGATTCGTGAGTAGTCAGGAATCTTTTTTGAGTACTATTTTTTGCTGTTTTGAATTCTGTCCCAGAAACCCCATTTTTGCCCTACTTCACTCTACAGTTTAACTATTATTAGTTGATATTTACAAAGTTAGAGTCATTAAAATAGATTTTACTAGTTTAGTATAAGAGCAATTAAGATTTTTTAATAAGTTAGAAAGTAGGTAAGTTTATTATTTGAGTAGTTCCGTTAAGTAATAAAGCTGGTAAGCTAGTTATTTGTGTATAAATAGTATGAAGTGCTTCTAGATATTTAGGTAGCATTGGTAAATGTGTTATTTTAGTTCTAATAAAACAGAGTACTTTTAAAAAATTAGGCAAATTTGGTAAGCAATTTATTTGAGTGTTTACGCAGTAAAGAGCTATTAAAGAGTTTGTAACAGAGGTAAGCTATCTATTTTTGTATTATTGCAGTAGAGTATTTTAGTATTCTATACCAATTGACTTCTATAGCATAGCAATAGAGTTCTTTTAAGGAATTAGGCAAAGTTGGTAAGCTATTTATGCGAATGTAAGAACAATTGAGCTTTTTTAATTTTCGATGACTTTGCAATCCTACTTATTTGTTTAATATGCTATCCTTATTTTATTAGTAATTTGTAAACTTTCATCATCAATAAATAAAATATTATTAATCCTTTCTTTTACATTGATAATTTCAATTTTGGCTTTGGTTTCCTTTTCTTGTTTATTAACCTTTTCTTAAAAATTACTAATCATTTCTTGTTTGGTTTTGGCTTTTTAATTTCACTTTTTAATCATTTCTTCCAGAATAATAATGGTTTCTTGCTTGGCTTTATTCTTTTTTTTTCAAAATATTTAGATTTAGAGTTTACGTTTGATAATTCTACTCCTTTTGTTGTTAATTCAATGTTTAAGTATTGAATTACTTGCTTTCGGTTATCTAAGAAAGTTAGTATTTCAGAAAGTTTCCATCCTGCTAATAATTCTTTTAAATTACCTAAATCCTTAATACCTATTTTATTTAATAATGTCTTTTTGCTTTTTCTAAATCCTTAATTCTTTTTTTCAAAACATTCAAATCGATTTCCACATTATATTTTAAATCCATTATTTTTTCTCTTTTCGTAGAAAAGAAGTTTTAAATATAGAATAATTTCAGCCTTCTATCATTCCTTTTTATAATTATAATTTGGATTTTTTGACATTATTTACTCTTTTCTTAAACTAGTAAGATCAATTTGCAACTTCTTTTGAAAGGAAATTTGATAAATTTGTATAATATTTCTATGTAAATTTAGGGTATTATACAAAAATATTAAATATATCAATTTAAGAATTTTGGTGGTTTTACATAAAATAATTTATATTAATTAAATAATTTCAAATCTATTACGAATTTTTTTTTTGAATAAAATTAAGGATTAAAATTTGCTTTAAGTAGTTTTAATAATATTTTTTTTATATAATAAAGTTATTGAAAATTTCAAAACTTTTATGCTTACTGGTAATAATTGATTCTGATTTATTATATATCCAGTTTCTTATTAGTACCATCAAAGTTTCGTTTAAAGTATAAGATTGATTCAGCCAACATTTATCAAAATAAAATAAAAACAATTTGAAGTTCTGTCCAAAACATTAGATTATATTTTGTAAAATTTGATATTGAAATTTAATTTTTTAATTTTTTTTTTTTTAATCTCAATTTTATAAACTGATGAATTCATTCAGAATCGACAAATAGCTTTATAAATTTTAACAATAAACAACATTTTTATTGTTTGATTATTACGATTAATTGGTGTAAAATCTAATAAAATCATAATCAAAGGTGACGTTTAAAATCTCAAAGATCAAAATCTCAAAGGGTCATAATCCTGAAGTCATAATCTTAAATAACCATAATCCCGAAGGGTCAAAATCTCGAATAATCATAATCCTGAATGATCATAATCCTGAATATTATTGCTGCGCCCATAATGTATGCAGATCATTATCTCAAATAACCATAATTCTGAAGGGTCAAAATCTCGAATAATCATAATTCTGAATGATCATAATCCTGAATATTATTGCTGCACCCATAATGTATGCAGATCATTTTAAGAATTTTAAGCATTACGTTTAACAATTTTAAAAGTTTTATCACGAGTTTTAATGAAGTTTCTTTAGTTTATTAAATTTTCTCTTAAACTTCGCAACGCAAAAAAATTATTTTCTCATCTTTTTTATAAAATACTTTTGCCAAATATTAATTTTATATATTCTAAATAATAAAAATGGATGAAAATTGCAAAATCGTGGAAATCATACTTTCTCAAAAAGGAAATGATAAAATAAAAGTTCATGGCTTTTTAATAACAAAAGAGCGAACTTTGAAAAATACTATTATTGGTGTTGTGAAAAAATAAGTCAGAGAAATGTAAAGGTTGTGCAATAACAATTCTTATTGATGGTTTACACTACCTTCAAAAATATTCCAATCATATTCATACTCCTTAAGCTAGTAATGGTAATATTGCTAAAACTATTGCTGATATTAAACAACAAGCTTTAGCAACAAGAGATCAACCTATTCAAATTATTC